TGAACTAATTTTTGCATGCACTGTATTTAAAGAAGAAGTAAACGTGTTCTGCAGAAAATAAGCCGCGAGCAGCTGGAACAAAGGGAGCAGGGTTTCCTGCCCTGGCTTGCCAGCGAGCTTCGCCGCGATCATCGCAATAATTAAACGTCCCTCCGCCGAGGTGCCGTCCCCAGCCCTGACGGGTTCGGGGGGCGGACGGGGGAGGCAGCCGGGGGGGGGTGTCTCGGGAGCCCCAAAGGAGGTTGCGCTCCCAGCCCCCGGGTAGCCTCATTTCTGCACAGCTGACGTGCGGTGCTCTTTCTCGCCAGCGGAGGGGAGAGGAGGGTATTTCGGGCCCCGCGCTCCCCGTGCCTGTGCCCCGCGTCGTTCGTTTAATTACAGGTTTTCAGCCGCAGACCGTTGGGCATGTATCGGTGGGGGGATCGGTTCCCAAACCCTGTCATTTAGCCTCGTCAGAGTGCCTCTTCAAAGAGGGGAATCTAGAAATTTTCTCTGCAAGGTGCGGAGTGGACTGTCTCGGCCCCAGCGTGAATATAATGACAGATGCATTTTACAGCAAGCTGGGACTGAATGCGCTCGACCACAGCTCCTTCTGTCAGCCAAGTCATTATTTTTTGTCATTTGCTGACAGTTTCGGTCTCATTCGTTTCTCTCTCTTTTTCTGCTTTTCCCCCTGCCTGGAAAAATGGCTAGGTATCTATGAGACCCCAGCGGGAACGATCCTATACCATGCGCATTTAGATATCGAGGCCTTCACCATGGACCGGGAAGTACGGAAAATCAAGCAGGGGCTCGCCGTGAAATTCTCCGAGCTGGTGTACAACGGTACGTACCGTCCTCCGGCCTGTCCCCGGCCACTGCTGCTTCTTCCCAGCCCTTTTCCTCCTCTTCCTCACGGCTGCACAAGCCCCATCGCTACGAAAGGCGGCAGGTCCCGCTTGTCGGTTGTGCGTTATAGTGATGGGCCAGGGCTACAAAATGCAGGTCTGGATTTGAGGCTATTCATAGGAGGGGGAAAAAGGTGGGTTTGCTCCTGCCTAGGAGTGGTCTCCAGAGCATCGTGCCTGCCTTCACGCTGAAGGGGCTCCATGCCTTTCTTAAGAAGAAACGATGCCGCCTTGCGAGAGGGGTTGTTGGCGGGGGATGCTCCGGGCACCTCCCTGAGCCCTGTGTCACGGCTTTGGCCCACGTAGCGCACTTGGATGTACCACAGGTTGTTATTTACCATCCCTTTATCTCCCCCCGTCTGCTGGAGCCATGTCTTTTCCCCTTGCTCTCTGGCTGCCGCTCCCCACGCCGGCCCCGCTGGCCCCTCCCCTGCCCCGCGCGCCCGGAGCCGCGCG